TCCCCGCTGAGCACATTATCGCGTCGAGGGGGGAGGGGGGATTCCCCGCTGAGCACAGAATGTCAAGGTCATGAGGGTTGGTGTAGCGGCTCTGGGCTGGGACAACTTAATTTTGGGTACTTTTCAACTAGAAGATTTAGGTGTATTCTCGTACTTGTGGTTTTTATTATTTAATGCACCCTTAGCAAGAAGATCTGCTTTTGAGACTAAAAAGGAACGGACGTTGTAACTTGTGTCTGGCTACTATGTTAGATGTGCCCATGTTGGCAATGCTAAATTGTAAATTGTTTGGACAAGTGTGGGTGAAAAAAAATTGAATGAAAAAAACAAACAGCTTGACCAAGCTAGTGTGGAGGGTTGCTAGACGTGCGCCAGGTCCATGAAATACCCAGGTGCGGTGTTGTTCACACATGGGGAACACGTGGTGGCAATCATAGAACTAATTAGCTTTTGGAAGGCAACCAATCAAGTTCTCTCCACATGGCTGTCATGTGACCCTCAGTGCCAGGTGTGGCCATGGCTGTCATGTGACCCTCAGTGCCAGGTGTGGCCATGGCTGTCATGTGACCCTCAGTGCCAGGTGTGGCCACCATAAGTTATGACAAAGGGAAGGAATCCACAATAGTGTCAGGAATCCAGACCTAACTTTTTTACCAAAACTTCTCAGAAAGGCCAAATAAAAATTGACACATGTGATGTAGAGCTAGGCTTCACTGTGTTCTCCTCTTTGTGTATCAAAACAACCAAATGAGTCGTTTGTGGCAGTCAGCTGTTTAGAGACGTGGAGCAAACCCTTGATTGTTTCACAACTATGGGTGTCTGACTCCCACACTGAAAGCGGCTATGTAAGATAAGATAAGATAATACTTTATTATCCCAGCGAGAAATTTTTCTTGGCTGTACAGGACCGTAAAAACACATGCAGGTATACATAAACGGATGGGGGGGGGTGTAAATGGGCTTACTTATGAATGTCATGCTCATACTGTGCCGGAACAACATAGGGGGAACTGTTGCTCTTTCTTTCCTCATCCTCACTATCGTCATTTTCCTCTATTTCTTTTGTATGTTTGTCACTCTCTTGTGACCTGCTATTTCCGGGGTGCCTTGATAGTCGAAGCAGACTTTGTGCTGCTGAGGCTAGAGAGGTGAGCAGAGTAAGCCTGATTCCCCGTTTGAACTTGTCTGTTGACATCCACCCCTTGGCGCTCGTATGCCCTTATGCAGTTGCGAGCGCCGTAAAAACCTCTACTAAATGAAATAAAACGAAAGTGGCTGTAATGTTGGAATCAAAACAACAAGACTGATCCTGTTGTCAGCGACTTGCAGAGCTTGAGCAGATCTCTCATTTGGTACCCGTAGTCTTATATTGGTCAAAATATGACATGTGACTCTCTTTGTCATTCAAATGTCAGCTGAAGTCATTTCTGTTTTTAAATTAATAAGATGAATATTTGGAGTAATTTTCTTTTAGTCAGAACACAACGTTTTATGTTACTGTTGTATGTTGTACTGTATTGTAAAGTGCTCAGAGTCTGTGTTCTTGACTCAGGGTTTAGCGCTATAGAAATGTCATTTATTATTATTATTATTATTTTTCATTACAATATCTTGTAACTGACCACAAGTTGTATCTTTATCTTATACAAACAGAGTAACAATATCTTGTAACTGACCACAAGTTGTATCTTTTTCTTTCTTTCCGCAGAGAGGCTCTGAAAAAATCGTTCCTGTCAAGCAAGCCCTTGCCCATGGTCACTGTGAAGGTAAAGTTACCTCCTTTTTTCTCCTGAACGAGAGAACAGAGGAGGATGAAGAAAATCTGCTGTCTGTGTTTGTTTGTTTGTGTGAACTTTGAGTAGGCCTCTGCTTCTACGGGTTCACTTTTCAGGAGGTGTGCAGTATCAGACCAAATTAGCCTGTGGATGGTCAGAAAATGCCCTTGAAAGGCCCTAGTTCTAGTCCACCCCTCATAATGACCATTGTTGTGTCAATATGCTCCATTTTCCTCCTGCTCAAACTTCCTCAGTGTTTGGGTGGTTGGAGGGCGTCTCTGGTAGTTCTTACTACGTTGCACTTCGTTTGTTTACATCTGTGGCTTCGGTCAGTCTGTCTTACTTGTATCTTATACTGTATAACCATTATTGTATCAGTGAGCTTCTCTTTACTCAAGCAAACCAACAATTACAGTGGGGTGTGTATGGTCAGTCCAGAGTGGACACACCAGAGTCTGTGGTGTATCGCACCGACCTCTTTGCTGGTGGGAGCAGAGCCCGCGAGGTCCTTCACATGTGGAGAAGTTTTTGTGAGGCGAGATAACTCTTTGTGGTCTCCTCGCTGAGAAATAGCTGGGGGGGTAAACACAAGCTCTGGTGTATGTATGCACACACACACACATGCTCACTCACACACACACACACACACACACACTCACATACACACACACACACACTCACACACATGCTCACTCACTCTCTCTCTCTCTTTCTGTCTGTCTCTCTCTCTCTCTCTTTCTCTCTCTCTCTCTCTCTCTCTCTCTCTCTCTCTCTCTCTTCCTCTCACATGGACGTACAAAATAATGTCATTCTCGGTCACCTGGCCATGACAGTACAGCTGGTATCGATGACGGTATCGATGACGGTATCGATGACGGTATCAACGAATTTCTATACTTGTTGGTTCTTGTTTTTAAAATTTTAAATAACGTTGACTTGTAGCAGATGTCTGATGTTCTGAATGTAGGCCTACTATGTGTTTGGTGGGAGCATTGCCTTTCTGTGCTGCTGTCACAATTCTGAGATTATAAAGCTCAGTGGAAGGGAAGAGTCGACTTTTCCTAACTTGTGCTTCTTTCATATAACTCTGTCCAAATGTGAGGCAGCGTGGTGGAATCAGGCTCTCGTCAAAATAATCAAAGTGAAGAAACTTGCATTTTTCCGCAGGTTTGTGAATTTTTATCAAATTTTTGTTTTTTGGCTCAACACTTTTCATGCCCAGTAAAGAACTCATTTACGTGTGGATTTTTCTTAAAAACGTAGATTAAAGAGACAAAAAATGTAACTTTGCAGATACCACGGACTCTTCAGCTAAGGAAATACCTAATCGTTGGTGGCCATTTTCTCACTTATTTTACTTTAGAAAACAGGTGACCCCACCTCCTTCATTCGCAATTATCTCGACTTGTATTAAAGATAAATGGATATTTTTTCATCCAAATAAAGACAGGTGAACAAGCTTTTAAGATGATACCAATAACTCTACATGCCCAAAAATTGACGAGAGCCTGATTCCACCACTCTGCCTCACAATTATTGCTGTTTGTATATATGTAACATAATGCCAAACTCCAAAAGCCATTTATAAAGCTTAATGGGTGGTTGGCGGGTGCTCTGGTGGGGTTTGCTCCTTCTTTCCTATCAAACATCTGTCCTCCTGATCTCTCCTTCTGTTTTATGTTTGTTACTCTCATGTGACAACTTTAATCTTCGGCACTTAAATGACCTTATTGTGTTGCAAGTGCCGTTAAACTCTTACTAAAACTAAACTAAAAGCTTTCAAATGATTCCTTGAAGAAAGTTTCCATAATGTGACTGTCTGTTTTGAATGACTTTAATTTAAAAAACAACAATTATAGCTTCTGACTAGCGTTTTCGATCAAGTACGTTTGTCTATCTGCAAGAATGACGTATCCCATGCCACCTTTGGTCAGAGCAGCCTGATTCCTAAATGATGTAAATCTCATAGATAGGACATAAAACAAGTCTACTGGGTACGTCCTACCACTTCGTAAGTGATGTCAATCTCATAGATAGGACATAAAACTATTGTACTGGTGTGTCCTACCACTTCGTAAGTGATGTCAATCTCATAGATAAGAAATAAGACAATAGTACATTGTACTGGTGTGTCCTAC